TCTGCATATACAGAACCAATACTTCAAATTGGGAAGAGGCCTATTTTATAAGTCTGTCAAACTCTTTACATGTGTTTGTCCTTTAGCAGGAAAGGACAAAAACGGATATTACCAAATTAGTTTCTCCAAGTAGTTACCCCAAAATAGAGACTGGGCAGGATACAGTCATTTCTGACTCCCGTCAAAGGCAGCCAGTCACTTTTTCCATCTCAAACATGTATTAGGAAAATGGTTTGTCATTCTACTGATGTTGCTCTGTATCTTTCAGTTTTTCATTATATTTCCATTTCTTTTTACAGTAGCAAAATCTGATAAAACATGAGTGGAGAGGTGGCTATGCATCATTGAGTAAGCTTTAGACCGTGATTTTGTATGGACCTTTATACTATTCTTTATAGAACTATACAGTCTTGGGGGTTTTTTTTGTTTTTGCTTTATAAAAGCTTTACTAGAAGAAGACGAGTATAATTAGTTTAAAAGGCAAGACAAATTAGTCAGCATAAAAGTGTGTCTTCAGGCCAGAAAATTGTCCCAATCAACGATCTATGGAGCTTGTCCATTGTTTACTGGGGTTTCCATATGAAAAATCTATTAAATATTATTTTAAAACATATAAAAACATTAATAAGCAGCCTACCAATTAAAATGTAATTGGCTGCATCCTCTGTACAACGAGAGCCTCAAAAACAGCTTAGTCATTGATCTTAAGAGCATTCCTACAAAATAACTGACGTGGAAAATTTCATTTTAAATTTTCTTCTGTAATGAGAGTTGGTATGAATTGATTTGGCCACACGGTGCTGCAGAAACACACTGTGCAGACCCTCGACAGGCTGATCTTTCAAACCCAAGTTTCAGGTGCAACTTAGCAAATCTTTTTCTTGAGCATCAGGAGTGCCCATGCACTGATACAAACCCACTTTTACAAGGACAGCTGCGGAAAGCAGAACTTTCTGCATCTCAGATTCTTGTAGAAATCATCAGCCATTTATTAAATGTACACCGGGTTCAGAGTAAGAGTTTAATAAGGTACTTGAGGGCAGTTAAGATTATATTTCACAGTGTTATGTAGAACTCCACACCTATGTTAAATCTGATGTACTCAATTTCAGCCAGGATAGACGACTGATGGCTGAATAAAACTCCATAAAATACTGGTTTATATTTAAAACTCCAGACAAATCCTTCCTTGACACAATAACAGGCACCATTCCAAAACAATTATTTTCTCCAGTAATTTTTTCTTTCAATTATAATGTAGAACTCTTACAGTTAATTATCTAACAATTTTAAAGTTTGTAACAAGGAAACAAAAAAGTATAAATGTCCAGAGCTGTTCATGAATATGCAGATTAAAACTTACAAGGTATGAATTTTAAATAGGAAAGATTTTTCTTTGTCCTAAATGTAATCTAGTCCTTGAATAAAAAAAGTGTAAGTTTTGTAATTATTTGTATGGCAAAATTTTAATGTAATTTCTTTTGTAGTTTAAAATGTGTAACTAAATGAAATGTGCCTTAACTATCTTTGAATGAAATAATATTTGAGAAGTTAAATAAGGTAAACCCTGTCCAGTAAACTTGGTGGTGTGTACTAACATTTTCTAGCGCAGAGCACCTTCAATTTCACCTAGCACAACCAACCAAACAAGCAGAAAAAGCAAAAGGAAAACACGTTTCCTTCAATAGAGACTATTTCATCATCAAAGATGCACTTTAAGGGCTATATTCAGTGCAAATGGATGCCACACCTTCTGATTTAACAGAGTGGAAGGTTTTCCTCTGTTGCCAAGAAAACCTTTTGAAAAGTCAGGGCTTTGAGCTCAAGTAATAAAGAGTTTTTTTTTTTACTTGATGGTGAATCTGCCCTTGTCCATGACTCTTGCAGACCTTGCTAATGGCTCCCACAGATTACAAACACAACTGGTCATAAACTTTTGGAACTGATCCTTTAACTTCCTATTAAAGAACTTCCATCTAGAGGACAGGTGACTTGCCCAAATCCTAACTCATTAATAACAGAGCCAGATGAACATCTGGGTCTCCTCCCAGGACAATCAGTGCTTCAATGTGAGTTACCTTCATTGTTTAGAACCATCCTTTTTACCACACATTTTTCTGAAAACTGGCATCTGTGGAAATGTCACACATGGCGGGAGTCAATGACAAAAACACTCTTTAACCAAAAGTATGGTGGTGGCTGGACATTGCAGAAGCCAAATAAACCTTCTCTATTAGGCTGGATGTTTTAGAAGCCAAGAAAATTTCCCCAATTACCCTGAGTTCCAATAAAAATGCTTATTTTAAAAAACTGAGACTGCTACTTAGAAAATGGTGATAGCTGAGATACATCAAATTAACTGTTACTGTTTCAAAAAAATGAAACTGAGGGAAGAATAATTATTTTTGTTTAATTTTTTTTTCCCTGAGTAGTATAATAATGGATCAAGAGTTTAAGTATGATGGTCATTGATCATCTCTGGAGTAGTTTCATGACAACCGAAGAGTTGAGAAATAATAGAAATATGTACTGCATCTTGTTCTGTTGATCAAAAAAGAAGAAACACATAGTACAACGAATCCCTTTATACTTAGCAGTACGTGGAGGGAGACAGACCAGTTTTCAAATCTCCTACTGTAAGCAGAAGTGAAGCATTAATCCTTATAACACTCCATCCAAGCAGATATATTCTTTCATAGAGTACAAAGAGTTTCTTCTTGAGGAGAAAAGTCAAGCTGAGAATTAGAATTATTTCTTTAGTTTTTCTTCTAGATTACACATTTATGGTTATAATTTCTCCAAAATTAGAGAAAAGCTATCCAAAAACCCTTTCATACAAAATTAAAAAAAACAAAAAACAAAAAACCTAGTTGATCCAAGGGGATGAAAATCAGTCAAACTGTAGAGATAATGTATCATCTTCAGAGCAACTGGAGAACTCTTAGTCATCTTGCTGTCTGCATGACAGCTCTAAGAGTACATTCATCAAGCAAGAAACAGGTAACAGTGATTTTAGGTTTACAGACTAAGAAATGACATAAGTAATAGAAATAAATAGGGATGATTTATAAATGGCCAGATGGGCTGAAAAAAAGTTTTATTAAGCTTTCTTGTTTTCACTTATGACATGCCTAGACTTGTCCTTTAAACTCTAAATTTGTTTACATTTTTTAAAAATAGTGATCAGATTCTCTGCAGCATTAATTAAACTGAGGAGACCTTTTGGGGACAGATACTTTCCGTGATTATTCCTTTCCATCCTCTCACATTACACAGCTAGCTTAATTTCAATGCATGGGAAAACAGAGAAAATTTATTTAGCTATCCATCCTTTTCTGGGAAGTTAATGGGGCATGGCTAACCTCAGCAGGTAGAAAAAATTTACCTTTAGAAAAATAAAAACATTTTATGTAAACAAAGACTAGGATATTTCTAACATTCTACAAAGATACACTGATATTTTTGCTGATTAAGACCTCAAAAGTTCCAAGTACATTTGCTGTTCCTTTCTCCTTTAAATGAAAAACTGCACAGCTTAAGCCAGAGAGTGGTTCTGCCCTAACTTCATCTGCAAACTTATTCGCGACAAAAATATAAAAGACTCACCAGAGATAGACGATTTGCATTTCATTAAAAATCTAAGGCAAAAAAGAAAACAAACTGGTCAAATAAAGGTGAAATCCAATAAAAGATTGGTCAAATGAAGGTGGAGTCAGAAGGCCCTGCCCACCCTCCTCTCTCCCAGCCCATGATCCCGGGATTTGGGATTTACTACCTATGGCTAAAGCCCGGATGGGATTAAAGGAGACATCCAGTAACTGGAGGTGAGATTAATTGTGGTGAAAATGGCCTAGAGGATAAGAGCACACTCTGCTACTTTCAGAATCTAAAACTCATTAAAGAGAGTTAAGAGCAGGGGCGCCTGGGTGGCTCAGTCGTTAAGCATCTGCCTTCAGCTCAGGTCATGATCCCAGGGTCCTGGGACCCCCACTGGACTCCCTGGGATCCCAGGGTCACAAAGACCCCCACTGGACTCCCTGATCTGCCTGCTTCTCCCTCTCCTACTCCGCCTGCTTGTATTCCCTCTCTCGCTGTCTCTCTCTCTGTCAAATAAATAATAATTTTAAAAAAAGAGTTAAAGCAAAATTTTAATGTGAGAATTTAAGAGTTTAGAAATTAATTTCTTTGGGGGCGCCTGAGTGGCTCAGTTGGTTAAGCGACTGCCTTCGGCTCAGGTCATGATCCTGGAGTCCCGGGATCGAGTCCCGCATCGGGCTCCCTGCTCGGCAGGGAGTCTGCTTCTCCCTCTGACCCTCCTCCCTCTCATGCTCTCTGTCTCTCATTCTCTCTCTCTCAAATAAATAAATAAAATCTTTAAAAAAAATTAATTTCTTTGATTCTCTAAACATGAGGGTCAGACCCAATGACTGTAAGCTTTCATTTCTCTAAGACTTTCCCAATTATGAGTTACGCTGTCAAGGATAAGGAAGTGATTAGACAGATGGTCACCTTACTCCGTGATTTCTCCTTCATAGCCCTTGTGCAATCTACCACGATTATTTTCATAATCCCTCTATAATTCTATATAAATTATGCTTGGTAAGTTTCATTTAAAAGTCCAACATATTAAGGAATCATTACATGTTTATGTCTTTAGAGAATCACAAAGAACTCAGAGAAAGAACTGCTGAGCAACTGTGCACTGTCCCACCCAGCCTTGCCACGGCTCCAGCCCCGGTCCACGTGGTGCTTCCTTCATTCATGCCTTCCTTCGTCATCTTCTCTTGCTCAGTTTTCTTTCTTTTTTTTTTTTTTAAGAAAATAAGCTTAAAATATCACATTACCAACCTTTAATTATGTTGAAGAAATTCTTCCTTGATGGGCTCTGACTGACACAAAATAATTAAACTCTCCAGGACAACAAGCTACCCATAATTTGGCATCCATTAACTGTTTACGGTTTCGCTACGTACTATAGTCATTTGAGATACTTTAAGAAAACCCTTCAAATACTGAGATGTTTATTGCATTTTTAAAGTGTCCACAATCTTAAATATCCTGTTTGAAATTCCTCCAGAATTCCTTTACAGCACATGACATCAAATATTGAAATAGTGTTCTCACAATATTACACTTGAAAATACCATTTAGGGACAATATTTTAGGAAATAGAGGGTTTAAGGCAAGACATTCATTTGGAAAAGGTAATTTCGCTCAATCATCTAGATCGACAGGGTTAGTTTTCCACCTCTTCAGTGCCTTAGGATACGCAACATACATTCAGCAACAGGGCACATGTATGACCCTACGGACATCTGCTGAGGTCCTGAGTGCCCATTGAAATAATGGAAATATTTTTATATAAGGCGTGACCCACAGGGACATGGCATGGGAGAGGTTATTCACTCCATTCCCAATCTGGTATACAGGAAATTCCCCATCTAGATCCGTCCCATTTGCCCCCCTACTTCATCTTTTTCAAACGAACACAAATCCCTCGAAAAGGTGCTAAGATTGGTTTCTGTTAACAGAGACAAAATAGCCATCAGAGTGTTTTCCCCTTCATTGCTTTAATGATGAATGTCTAAAGGCTATTTCTTGATTCTGATTGCAAACATTGTTTGTTGTGGAAAAACTATTCTGTCCCAAAGAATTTTCTCTTTCATCACACTGTTTGGATCGAGACAGCTGCACATTTTCATGTGGAGTCTTTCCTCTTTGAGTTTTTTTCACCGGCAACAATAATACTAAGATACCAGCAATGTGCAGGCAGTAATACCAGGAGCTAAAAGAAAAAGGACAAAGTTTACTTTATTAAATTTTGAGAATGATTCCTTAGCAATGGCATCCTTGTCCAAATGTCACAGGCCCTGCGTAGGATGTGCATATTTACTCCATTAATTGGGCATTCTCGCCCCCTCCCCTGCCCCATGACATGAAGCTCTCCAGCTCAGCAAGTGGGTATTTATAAAGCACCCTATAAACCCAGGCCACTCAAAAGCACGATACTAGATATCGTATTACATTCCTCTGTAAGGGTCATAAGTCCATGGCTACACAGAACAAAAACAAAAAGGTACTTATTAGCAGCTGCAGTGACCTGAAAATAATCTCTCAGTTCCACAGAATTGAACATTAAGAACGAACAAAGAGGACACAGAGCTGGTCAAGACCTGAATGCTCTGGCCTCCTCTGCTGTGTATGGTCCCTAATTAAGTTACAAATATTCCAATGATGTAATAGATAATATTGCCTCGATGGTTGCTGTCACATAATAAAGCAAGACCATGTTATTAAAGATATTATTAGAAGCATCATTCCTGAAATCAAATATAAATCAAATGTGACCTTTTAGAGTTGTAAACTCAAGTGATTGTGAACAAAGTACCTGGGATAGAAAATCTAACCAACTGCTCAATCACATGTAAATTTATGTGATAATTTTGTGAAAAGGGGAATTTTAGCTGGAGTTCCTTGATGTATTTCTGTAGGAGTATCGCCATATTTGGGCAACAATATTTGACCACTCTGGGCTGTCGTTCTAAATGCAAGGGTGGTGGAAACTCTATGAAAGGTGAAATTTTTGATCTCAGAGATATCACTAGACAGCGAAAGTGGAATCTGGTGGGTGAGGAAGAGAATAAAGAAAGAAATCTAACAGGGAATTCAAAACAAGAACTTCTATAATACAGAGAAGACAAAGGATCCGTGAAACGTAAAAGAATAAGAAGGGAACAAACTCAGGATATAGAAGTAATTCAATTTTCTTTTGACTAAAGCAATTAAGAGAATTAACAATTCTTTGTAAAGGACAAGCTACACTTTTTTCTTTCTTTTTTTAAACTGCTCTGTCATATCCCCTATTGTTCATCTTATTTCGAGTTCCCCTATCCTGTCGTTTTCGGAGTTAACCATCCGACAGCCTGAACTCCTGGTGCACAGACTTTACCGGTGCTTACTCGTAATTGTCATAAGACATATTTTGCTTCTGCTCCCAGAATATTCCCAGTGACACATAAGCCTCTGCTTGAATACACAAACTCCTACACCCTGACCCCAGAGCAGGGGTGAGCAAACTCCAGCCTGCAGGGTGCATCGAGCCTGACGTCACTGTCTTAACCGGAGGCACCATGGACCTATAACATGGTATTAGCCCTGGGTGTACAACATAATGATTCAATATATGTACATACTGCAAAACAATCACTGCGGTAAGTCTAGTTAACAGCCAAGTGTGAAAAGAACAGCCACGCTTTCCAGTTAAACCTCTGAGAGATCTGAGGCGGTGCTCACCCCACTGACACTTCTCTGTCTAAATCACACTCCTCTGAAGGGTGAGTGGTGGGAATCATTCCATAAAAAACTCGAGACTTGCTGGTTTAAGATGAAAAGGTAACTATAGAAAGTAAGGCTGTGGTGCTATTTTTCTAAGCTATACAATAGCAAAGAGCTCGCTCTTCAAAACAAAGTGGTTCCCGCTGGCGTCTTTGTGAGAGTGACACTTACCTGTAGAACGCGAGCGATGGGTTTATGGAGAGAAGGACGAATGGCACAACTGTGTAGCTTATTGCTATTTGAGTCACTACCCATGTTAGAACATCATACAATAATTTCAGTTGGGGAGGTTCGATGAAATAATGCCGAAAGTTACTTCTCATCTGAAATAAAGAAACAAAAATATTTGCTTTGTCTTTCACATTGTTTATAAGATCACACTGACCGTACCTGCTGTTTCAAGGATGAGGAGTGACTGCTATTCCCACGCTCAGCTGGCGGACGTCTACAACGGGGCCACCCCCGCGGGAGAAGTCAAGTCGGTTCAGGAAAAATGAATAGGCATGTGTGTAAAAGATACGGAGAGAGCAAAATGTGGGAATCCGGGTAAAGGGCATGTGGGAGTGCTTTGCAACTTTTCTGTAGATTTGAAGTTGTATTAAAAGTTTCTTTAAAAAGTTAAAAATAACGCTCCTTAAATCGTATTTGGTAAAGTATAGTATGTAAATAAAGTTCTGCCTGTTTTCACCTTTTCTACTACAATGAAATGAGACATCCTTCCTCTCCTTTAAGCTCTGCGTTTGTGAAAGACAGATGGGTATCATACACTGAGCTGAGGTCAAAAGACACTTAATCACAATAAATGGCAACCACGCACATTATTCTCAAGATAGGTGTTTCCTAATAACTGCTATTTAAACTTCTTTTTTTAGCTTCCAAAAAAGTAAAAACTTTTCAGTTTTGAAATGCACAAACTTAACCAAACATTATTTCCTCTTTTCTACTGTGTTCCCTGCTTTTCTTGTCTAACATGTTCAGAGGTGAAACACAGCCCTACGGCGAGGATGCCACCGGGTTTTTCAGAAGTGACCTGCTGGATGGTTAATGGCGCTCCCATAGAGAGACCATGATTCCTAGCGGCCGGATCGGACCCCGGCACCCACCACGTCTTGCCCGGCTCATGGCCACAGCAGCTACCCACCCTCTTCCCTTCCAACCACTGATGGCAAATCAGTTCTCCTGAGGCATGGCTTTTGGCATTCCACCCCCCTGCTTAAAAACCTCACCTGGCCCCCACGTACGCAGACAGAATGAGGATTAGGCCCTTTCCTAGGCTGGTGTTCAAGTTCTAGGACTACCCCTCCCTCTCCCTCCCTTGCACTCCTTTGCCCTTCCAGAATTATCTACACCTTAGGTATTCACGATGTCTCTGCTTCAACCAGATTTACTTGTCATTTCCAAATACACCAGGCACTTTCAAACTTGGTTCTGTTAATGTCATTTCCATGCCTAAAGCGTCACGTTCCACCCCCATCACACTTCACTCACTTTTGAAATAATGTTCATCTTTCAAAGCCCAAATCCAACTAAACTTTCCTAAAGAGGCCACCTCGGGTCAACCCAACCAAAAGGATTTCTTTCACCTCGAAACAACTGTTACTGACTATAAAACCCACGGGATGTATGACACATGCCTCGTGCCGTACACGCGTGCACACACACGTACATACACTCGTACCTATACGCCCCAGTTAGACCACAAACAGCCAGAAGGCACGGCCCTTGGTTAATACGTCTCTGAGCTTTCCCTCATGTACCCCCCATGGTACCGGAAAATCGCATGAGTATCTGCTAGTTTGTCAAACGAAGGCTTCTCACCTGTAAGTGCTGTAAGAAGCCTGTTCAAACACCGTTTCTGTCCTGTTACTTGCCTCTGACTTTCGAGGACTTACACTAAATTGTCCTTCTTCTTTGTCCACCCATGTCACCAACCTAATTTCTCAACTATTTCCCAAAATACTACTCCAGGTTCCAACCAGGCCAGCACTCTAAAGAACTGTGTCCACCAGCCCAGGAATGGCCCATCCACTCTGTCTACACTGTTCATACTCCACTCTTCCTCTAAAAGAGGACTCAAACGTGACAGCTTTCAGGAAACATTTCTAAAATAAACCTACCCTTCTGATCCTCTTTATTTAACTCAGCTTTTAGCTCTCGTTCAGAAAATCCTGTCAAGACAATGGACACTTGGTGGGGCACCTCCCATGTGCCACGTCTGCTCCTCAGATGAACCAAGCGTGGCGCCCCCAGGAGCATTCAACAAACACGCGAGGCACACAGCTCACTTCTGGCCAGGGCCCCAGACGCAAGGCCTGCCTGTGGAGGGGCCCTCGCCTCCTCCACCAGCGCAAGGGGACCACCACGGAAGTAGGAAATGGGGTTCTGGGTACTCACAGCTCGTGCCGCCAAGGTCATCACCACTCCTGTCAGAAACGTCAGGTAATATCCTGGATACACCCCATGCCAAATGGCAGACAGAATGAATGTCTGGATAGTTGGACTCACGGAGGCTCGTTCGTAACAAACCCTAGAAGCCAGAAAACCACGGAGAGCCAAGGGGAGTGAGTGATCAGAGTTTAGATAGTCCACAGCGATCATTCTTTTCTTACCTGACAGGACAGAGAGTAACCAGGAAAACAGCCACCACTTAACATCAGCAATAACTTGACCTGTGACCTCAGGGAGGCGACAGCTACTAAACACTCCTACTTAACTAGGAAAATAAATTTGATTTTCATCTTTTTATGGTATATGTAATAGCTAAAATGAGCATTGCCAGTATTTAGAAATCTACATGACTTACCAAAATATCTTTAATATTAAAGATACTTTGTTTTACTTTTTTTTTTTAACTTTCTTTAATGACTTTTGTTTAATTAAGAACTTTCAACTGACCTAATAACACTTCTTCCCGGCAAGTCTGGCTGTGGCTTAGACTAAAATTTCTCAGTAACAGGGTAAAGCACTCAGATGAAAATAAGATTTTCCAAAGGTATCAAATTTATTTTTTTTAAGTCATCTCTATGCATGGGGCTCAAACTCACGACCCCGAGATCAAGAGTCATGAGCTCCACTGCTGAGCCAGCCAGGTGCCCCAAAGGTGTCAAATTTAAAATACAACAGTAACAAAAATCACACAACAGATTAGCTCAGAGAATCTGCAGCCAGTGGAGAGACTGCAAGGTACCACGAAGTGACACTATTGTACGGTGGGCATTTCGAGGGGTAAAGATACTCAACTTGTCACAAAATAAAGGACATTCTCAAAACAGGCTGCTTGGCACAGAACAGTGCTTAGAGCTGTACCGTCACAGGGCAAGATTTCATAAAATAAACTCGAGGTGGAGTAACAGGTCTCACTGGGAACAAGAGGCAGAGTCACCGGGAGTTTCTGTGCAATTTCCTAACTGATGCTGCTATGCTTGGTCTGCCTGTATCTCCCCCTTGGCCGTGCGACCAACTCCTATCACAATCCCAGCACCAGCAACAGCCCCCCACCCCCCATCCCTGCTCTTCCTCCCTACAGGAAATGGTGCGCGAAGGTGACGCTGCTGTTTTTTTAACAAGATCACAAACTCTCTGGCTGCAGGGGCTGGGTCTTTGTGTCGGACTCATCCTTGCATCCTGTGCCTAACATGCAGAAGCACCTGTCAAATTGAAATATTTTAAAACTGGAACTGTTCTGGAAAATCTAGGGCATCTGTACAGTGGTTGTGTAGCTACTTTGTTTTTACTTAACACACCTCCAGGGAATGTGAGTAGGAGGACACCAGCCATCTCAGACCCCGGAAAGATGCCGGGGAGAGCGCACCGAGAGGCCGGGGAGAGCTACGTTCACCACTCGGGCTGAAAAGTTCTCACATCTGATAGACTCTCGCTTCAGGGGATGTTAGCAGTGTTTCCTGGGTTAACACCAAGGTCCCAGTGTCACTCAACACACTGTTAATTTAGTCAAGAATCTGAACTCGGTGAAGCTCAACCTCAAGTCTTAGATGCCAAAGCGCAGCTAAAGCCTGCTCTTGAAGAAACATACCTTTTGAGCCAAAGAGCTGTCTGAATATTCCAATTATCAAGAAACATCTTGAAACTTGTTGACATCTGAAAAACAAAAGAACTTTTTTTCTTTGGCCCACAAAATGATGAAGCTTGAAATATAAGTAATAACATTTTATTGTGCTAAAAATAAGTTACTTGACATTGATGGTAGGTACTGATTTCTTTCCTTAATACTGCTTTTCTAATACAGTAACATCATCGTGTAAATGGAATTTATTTTAGAGGCCATCTACGAGATAAATGGATTATCACTATTTTCTCCTATATGTTAAGTTTTTGGGGTTGTCATAGGATTATCCCAAAGACATTCCTGATATGTAAATGACCTTTCAGTGACCCTTCAATGACTCTTTCATTGGGGACTGGACGTCCCATCAAGCCAGTCTCTCAATCCCCTCACCTCCATGCCTCTTCGGCCACCATCTGTGGCCACCCGGAACCTTGGCCCCACCTGGAATCACCACCGTCTTCCCAGCTGTCCAGTCTCTCCACACAAGCCTCTCCCATAAAAGCTTCCCCTTGACCTCAGAGGGAACTTCTGGTCCCCTACCTCTCCTTCCCTCGGTAACTATCTCCTCCTTGCATCTTCACTTCCTTCCCACCATGTAAATTCCATGGTCCATTATTTACTACTCTCATCAAAATCCTGGGTGTGTTTGTTTCCTTTTCCTTTTCACTCACCTCCCTATCAAAATCCTAATCCCAGATCAACCTTACTTTCCCCCTTCCCTACTTATAACCTCTGAATCCGAGTGCAGAATATCATACAGCCTTCGAGACTTCTGTCCGAAATCCATCCTTCTTGATATCAGTTGAGCCCTCAACCTACCAAGCAATCCTTGTTTCCCTAAACAGTGTATTCTCCTCTTCCTGAAAACAGCTATTGGATTGAACCATTTTAAACTTTTTTTTTTTTTTTTGGTAAGTCAAAAGCAGGTAAATATCAGCAATTTCAGGAGATCCCAACTAGTACTTCAAAAGTTCCCCACTTTCTTATCTCTGGTCCTATCACTCCCCACCCCCACCCCCCATCTTCCCTCCATCGCTCCCAACAGGTGATTTTGCCTCTAACTTTATTGAGATGATATAAACTATCAGACTCCAAATTCTCACATCAAAACTACAAAGTCAGCTGCCTCCACACTTCCCTTCCTCCATCCCTGGTTCCTCCTCCAACACGGTCAATCCCTGCACCTGGCCTCTTATCTCCCTGTTCTCCATCTTCTTAGGGACCTCGTGTGTCCATCAGCCTCTCTCTCCCCCTACCATATTTTCACACTGTCTTCCAATAGTCTAACTGGTAAACATGTGTCAATCTCTCCATTTTAAAACAAAATTAAGCAAAACAAAAATCCCCCCTTCAATCACCTGTTCCCCGCAGCTGTGGCCTTATCTCTACCCTCCTTCCCTGTACAGGTAATGAATGCCTAAGAGTTGCATAATCTGGCTTTTATGCCTCTCCCTCCCTGGACACTGTTACCAAAATCATCAATAAACTCCCCTGTTGTTACAGCTGATGGTGCTCGTGAGCCCTCCTCTGGCTGCACATCTCAGCAGCCTTTAACACTGACTACCGTTCCCTCCTTCAGAAAAACAAACTCCTTTATTCTTCACTTCCTCTTATACCATGCATTCTCAACAAGGGTGATATTGCTCCCAAGATGATAAAAACCAGTTCTTGGGGGCAAAAAGTCTTACTATTTTCATATATAAAGCACACATATACATAGAATACATACACCGATATACAGTATATGTGATATTAAATTTCATGGGGGCTTGATTAGGAAAAACACATCTCAAAGTCTCCACAGGGAAGCAATAATGAACAGGAAGTTAGAAACACTGCCATGTATTCACCACTCAATTTCCACAATTATCAGTTTTTCCTTCCCCTTCCCCATTTTATTACTGACATTAAGAGAATTTCAAAGCAAATACCAGACATCTTGGTTCACCTGTAAATAGTTCAGAATTTATTGGACTTCTTTTAAAAAACCAAGATCAGACCTAACAAAATTCTTACTCCTTAATATAATCACCTAATACTCCTCTTGCATTCAAATATCGCTGATTGTTTAAAAACACGTTTTTCCAGTTGGTCTGTTCAATCGTGATCCAAACAAGGTGCACACAGTGCGTCTGGCTAAAGCTTCTTTTAAGCTGTAAGATCCCCTCTCTGCCCCCCTCTTTCCCATGTCATTTATTTGTTGGGAAAAAATGGGTCATTTGTCTTGCAGAATTCCCCACTTCTGGATCTGGTGTTTAACTTACTTCTCCACACTCTATACTCCCTCTAAATTTAGCAAGATTGAAAGACCTAACCAGGTTTAACTGTCCCAGCAAGTCCCTGAGAGACGGTGCTGTATTTCCTACGGCGTCCCATCACAGGCGCCTAATGACAGACTGTCCCACTTGGAGTGACGAGCTTTCAGTGATGCTAAGGTGCGTCGGTGGGTCCTGACCCATTCACTATAAACTTGGCTGTCAACCTTTCACTTAAAGTTTTGGTAGTTTCTATTGTTGGAATCATTCTCTCGGGCTGGCAAACCGATGTCCCCTGTTAGTTCTCCTCTTCTCTCTCTGGCTCCTCCTCCTGACTGCCTTCCTCGGCCCAGCCTATGAGCACAGGTACTCCGGGGAGCGGGGGGTTCTCATCCCTTGTGGGTCTCTCAGTGCTCTCTCGTGGCTACTCTCGTGGTTTCTCCCAAACCTTGAAATGCCACAGGCTGGTAGTTCCCCAATGAGGATCTCCAGCTCAGGTGTTCCGGCTAGTGGCTGGTCATTTATTTGCCTGCCGGACAATTTAGTTGAGTCTGAAATCTGAACACACGGTATCTTTCCCTTCAAACCTGTGCCTGTTCTTTGTTCCTTCTCCCAGTGAAAGGCATCGCCATAAAACTGGCTTAAGCCAGGTATCTGGTCCCGATTCATAACTCACTCTCTCTTGCTGATGCCAAAGTAACACCGAGTTCTGCTGGGTCTCTGGAACAGTGCTCCCAGGTGCTTATGTCTCTCCAACCCGACTGGCACTACCCTGGTTCAGGTCACCATCACCTTGGATAAACACAACACCCTGCTAACAGACCACTCTGTCCCACGAGGGCAACTCATCTACCTGATGCAGCCAGATCCTTCCAAACCACAGCTGTGATCACCTCACTTGTCTGTATAAAACGCATCGACAATACTCCATCGCTCTTTTAAGAGCTCCAAACTCTTAATATGGCCTCTGGAAGCATCTGGACCTGTCTTCAATTTCTGCAGGCTCGTCTGTCACCACTCCCTGTGTTGTGAGCCTTACCCCCTCAGGATGTTGTTCCTCCTCTCCTTGGAGTGCCTGGCAACCTCCTCCTTATCTTTTAGGACTCAGATTAGACATTATTTCCTTCAGGACCCCTCCCTGAGCTATCTGATCTGAGTTGGAGCCCATCTGGCAGCACACACCCTACACCTTTCTGATCACAACCTATCCTTCTGTGCCCCTTTGGCCCGCTCTAGACTAAAGCTCCACCAGGGCCCAGATCACACAATCTTACTCACTGGATCCCCAGTGCCTGGTGCACGTGCGAATGACTGATAAATATTGGTTGAATGGAAGAAGGAGTACTATCAATAAAAAACCTTCAACACCACTCTTGGGACATCACATCATAACCCATAAAAGCAAAGTATGGTACGTAAAATATCACATGGTAGCTAGCCTGTAAATGATTGACTAACCTCTATTTGTTGAATTCTCAAATTGGAAATCAAGTCCCAACGAGCTGTTCCATTTTCATCATATCCTCTGAAACCAAAGCCTGCAGCATTATTAATAGCATCAGCTGCAGTAAACAAAGTGAAAAGAGCATATTAAGAATCCATATAACAATCTACCATGTTCTCCCCAAAGGTATATGTTATTATATACTAGGATCTTTTTAAACAGTAGATTTATTCATTTTCATCTTTATCTGATACTATAATAAAATGGGCCTTGACCCAGTTTTTAGGATATCCTAACAGTTTCTAGGATATTCCCTTGTATTTAGGATATGAGCTGTAAAGTTGGTTTCTTCTAATAGAGGACTCTAATTTTTCAAGTTGGTCTTTAACTACATATCCTCAAGAGGGCGCTCTCCCCGCTAGCTACTAAGATACACCTCCACACGTTGTCAGTCCCTTCCCAGGCAACTTACCTAAGGTCCATGCAAAATAGTATTTGGGTCTGGCAGCCAAAAGTGAGACATACAGATAGACGACTTTTGTTGGCCATGAAGCTGTAGCTTGAAAATGCTCATCGATGTTATACTCCACAGGTAATGTTTTAGAGATGGTCAGGTGAAAGAATAAGGAAAGTCCACAGACTAAGAGCTTCTGAATGACTGCGACCTGAAAGAACAAGACAAGATTTCATAAGCTTAATCTATACCCCTTTTAATTCATCTGACATACTACTGCCAGATTAATCTGGCATAAACTCTATAACTCTCCTGGTCAAAAATCATAAACTACGCTGCACTCAGCATGTCAAGCCCTCAGGGTCTCACGGTAGGAACATGTATGTCCAGCCTTCTCTCTACTACCTCTGGATTAGGGCTCAAGACACACTAGAAACCTCAATTTGTGTTTTCAAAGCTTTCAGTTAAAAAAAAAAATACCTGAAAGCAAACACAGGCCTATAGGTGTGAATACACAAAAATAATCACATGAATAACTTTTGGGAGTGGATTTCGTATTATACACACACACACACACACAGAGAGCTTATTTTTCCATTGTGCTTTTCCCTGTATTTTCCAAATGCTATGTGTATTTCATGGACATTATTTTTACACTAAACAATTTAATGCATCCCTTTAAGTCTGACAGTTCTCTAATGCAATTTTATTCACAAATGATAAAACCAAAAGAACTACACACCCAAGAAAACAAAAAGATTTGCATAAAAGACTCTGGTAGGGGGGAAAAAAAAGGCCATTCTTTCCTATATCCTGGTAAGGTTAAATCACCTTAAAAGAATCCAACTCATGGTGGTTTTGTATTTTTAGTAAGCCAGAATATTTCAATCTGACTCAATAGAGGGGAGATTATAGCACCTGCCAAGGGAAAGAAACAGGTGGAAGAAAGGAAAGGCTGCGTCCAGGTAATGGAACATAACAAGATACTTGGATTTTGAGTGTCCTGCATAGTAGTCAAATACTATTCAAATTAATCTGCAAATGAATATTCATGTTTTCACACTTTCTATAACAGTGCCAAAAGAAAGGGCTCAAAGGCAAGAGTCAAAGCACATGCCAGATTCACCGCATTTCTGAAAAAGCTGTCTTTGTTCTCGGGTCACTTGTTAGGAGGTATTGAGCACTTGAGGACTCTTTGCTGCAGCCTTCATTCTCATTTTCCTCAATGTTTTTTTAAAGCTTTCTCTAGTACAATAAGGCTACATTTTCTTCACCCCTCCCCCAAAATATCTAAGCTTTACATTTGAAAAGAGATTTAAAACAGGTAATTAGAGAAAAATTATAATTGTAAGCACAGTGAGATGAAACAAATGGCCTCATACATTAACCTAAAAATTGGGTGTATCATCTTAGTGACACAATGAGCAATACTGTGGCCGTGAGACTAGACACACAAGTTTCCAGGTCTCAGTTTCAAAACAAAACTTAAAGTAGCATACACTTGATCTCGACTACCAGGCAGCGCACAAAGGCTCAGGCAATGTGGGATCAGGTAGCTTGGAAGGCAGGAGTGAGGGCCTAAACCTGGGAGGCCAGGGATGACCCCTGGTTCCCACCGCCTCCCTGCTTAGTAAAGGGGCACCCTTCCACCATTCCAGCAGGAGGGCAGAAGTCAACTCTCAGAGAAGCTGAACCAGAGAAGATCCAGGCTTAGGGACATGGGTCCAGAGTGGGGGGCTGGGTAAGTGCTAGAATGAAAACGGGGAGACTCGAGGAAGTCTACAGCCTGAGAGATGGAATCCTCAGCCCCCGTGCCTGGGCCAGGTCCAGAAACAAGCAGTCAAGTTTGTATCTACCTCCTAAGATGGCAGAAGACTGAGGGATCCTTCACTAAGAAGCTAAGGAGCCCCAGAGGAAAGTTCTACAGACGTCATGACAGAGACTGACAAGTGCTCCCCAGAAGCCACCCTCCGCTTCTTGCACAAAGATGGAATTTTTATTTGGGCACGTCTAGCTAGACCACATGTGACTATCCCCTTCACAGCTGAGTGTAGCCACGCGGTCCATGCGATGTTAGCTCAAGTACAGCTCCTGTGGCGAGCCAGCTTACACTGTGGGGATGGGGGCAACGCCCTAAGGATGGCAAAAACAGGGGAGAGCTTGGATCCCCAACCCATGGAGCTGCCACATTACCCATGGACCACTGACACTTCAGATGTCGTGGGAGAGACCTTGTTTAGGCCACTGTGATTTTGGTCCTTGTTTCAGCACCCAAACCTGTATCTGATTTAGATAAAGACAATCGGGAGGTGCCCAACAAAAGGGCCATTGGCTAACTGACTGTTCTACTTTGGATCCCAAGAGTCCACACACTCCAGTGATGCACAAAGAGCTTCCAAATGCCTTTGAGTGATTTGTAAATACCACTCTGACTATATAAACTTTTCATATATGGAATTTACCCTAAAAATATAGTAAGACAGTGAAATAATAGATTAAAGAGTATTTGCCATTGCCAACAACCTCTGATTTATGATGGCTACAACCCAAAAGAGGAAAAGCCACATTTTATAAGAGTGAATCCCATAAAAATTCAGAGTGAGGTGACAGAATATATAAATTTGTATTATTCTTTGTTGGGTTTGATTTACTGCTACTCAGAAGTTTATACCACTTGAAATTTTTCAAATATTTTACAACATTATGTCTAGTACCTTGATTCCTAGCTTTTAATCCTCTTTCCAGTATTCCAGAACAAGATTCTGGAAGATCGAAGCTATCTATATTAATCCTTTCTTTCTCCTGTGGCAGTGAGACCTCTAAAGGGTTAAGTGGTCAGCCTGGAGACACAAAGAGTCAATGGAAGAGATCTGAATGTACTCGATTTCAAGTCTGAAATTCAAGCCCATATGATACGGCATTTATCAATTAACATTTAACCAGTAATAGAAAGTATGAAGACAAAAGCACCTTTTTGGTACAAAATACGAGTCACATGGCAGAAAAGAGATAAAATAAGAGCTTTTGTGAATGGGTGCAAATTTCCTCATTCACGCTTCATTTTACAGTTAACTTAGAAAGGAAGGTGATCCTTTGCTCAAGCCCCACATTCAGAAAAAACATACTAGCCCCCTTTTTTGTCTCATAGACTTTTTTTTTTTTTTTAAAGGTTTTATTTATTTGACAGAGAGAGAGACAGCGAGAGAGGGAACACAAGCAGGGGGAGGGGAAAGGGAGAAGCAGGCTTCCCGCGGAGCAGGGAGCCCGATGCGGGGCTCGATCCCAGGACCCTGGGATCATGACCCGAACCGAAGGCAGACGCTCGGCAACTGAGCCACCCAGGCGCCCCTGTCTCATAGACTTTTTGATCGGCCTAGTTCTCATGGGGCTTTTAGATTCTACCAGATCAAATCCAACATAAGCTCGGCCTACACAAAGCCTCAGAGCCTTTCTTGATAAAGGAGTACCTATCCCAGCAGTGCAAAGGAAAAAAAGCTTATGTTCAGTTGTGAGGCAATCTGGCACAGACTTTGTACTAGGACTGCCTGTGTTTGAATTCCAGTTCTCCTGCTGCCAACCTGGGACATCTCAGTCAAATCACGTAGGCCTGGTTTCCTCATCTGTTAAGCGGTGAGAGTAACAGCACCTACCTTGTGTTGTGAGTGCTGAGAGAGTCACTGTGAGGTGTCCCCAACAGGGCCGGGCACACGGGAAGTGCTTTCAAAGTGTTAGCTACTGTTAACTGTTTTATTGTGGGGAAGCAGGAAAACTTTCATGGACAAGGTGATATTTGATGTAGGCCTTTAAAGAGGAGTAAGATTTCAACTGGCGATGACCAGGAGGAGGAGAGGGAAGTCAGGAGAGGAGAAGAGAACACTTTGAATTAGCTGGAACATGAAGTGCAGGGAAGGAAGAAGCCTAAGAAATTAGGCTGGGTCAGTTCCGTGCAAATGGCTTTCTTGTAAAATATTCGATAACTATAAAACATCGTTTTCACTCAGGAACTCAGTACTGCTTTTTTTTTTTTTTTTTTTTTTAAGATTTTATTTATTTATTTGAGGGAGAGAGAGGTGGGGGAGAGAGAGCACGAGCAGGGGAAGGGCAGAGGCAGAGGGAGAAGCAGACTCCCCGCTGAGCAGGGAGCCCGATGTGGGGCTGGATCCCAGGACTCCGGGATCGTGACCTGAGCCAAAGGCAGATGCTTAACCCACTGAGCCACTGGGGTGCCCCTCAGCGGTGCCCCACTTCTTAAGTAACCTTAGTTTTGTTCTTTGATGATGATCGTACGGCTACTAGACATTACTACTAACTGCAGTGTGAAGAGTCATTTATCTTAAAGACAGTTTCAAAGACACAGCACGTTCAGACCTTGAAGACATTAGTATCACTGAACAAACAACACTACGCAACACAAGCTGTCGAGGCTCAGGTCAACCTCACGAGCTTACGTTCGGAGACGGCTCTGCTCTCTCGCAGGGCATGTCCTCTTTCCCACTTGCGCCTGGCGGTGCCCTGTGGGGCGCCCGGCCCTCGATGAAGGTGATGTAGTCTCTGTAGGAGCAGAGCGGGCCCGCCAGGATGCCCATGAAGTTGCAGTTGTAGCTCAGGAACTCCAGGAGGCTTGGCATGCGCCTGCGGGTAAAACACACGCAGCTCGTGAGAGGGGGCCCCGAGCTCTTCGAAAACACGAAAACCCACCCAGCAGGAATCAGCAGCTTCCACCTCGCTGCTCTTCCCGTTTGCCCCACAAAGCAAGCTTTAATTTTCATTTGCATTCGTATGATAGGAATTCCAAAGATGAGGATGTGGTAATGCTCAGCAGTATTTCTGGAGAAGAGAGTTTCCATACAGATCTTTGTGAGCAACTACAAAGGGTTGCTACTGGATTTCTTCATTATAAAACAAACCTGAGACTGACAAGAGACGGCATAAAGAATCTTCCCCTACCAGTTAGTCATTCACTCACCCAACAAATCCATGTGTGCACTGACCACGTGCCCACACGCTCCAGGGTCTAGACATGCTACAATAACAAAGTAGAGCAATATTCTGCATTCACAGAGCTCACATAACAGATGCAGAAAGCAGATAATTGAAAAATATGTACTAAATATTTTCAGAGGTGCTAAGTACTACAAAGATAAAGGGTTCTTCTTATATATATATATAAGAAGACCTCTTATAAGGCAACATCTGAGCAGAGACGGGAAGGCAGTGAGACAGGGAGCTATGTGAGTAACCGGGACAAGGATTCCGTGCAGAGGGAACAGTGAGTGTGAAATCCCTGAGATGGGGTGTGTCCAGCAGCAGGGAGGCCGGTGTTGCTGAACCAGAGAAAGAAACAGGAAAAAAATGAGAGAGAACCAAGGTGAGATCATCTAGGGCTGCCTTATAAGCCATGGTAGGAACTCTGGCCTTTATTCTGAATGCAATGAAAAACTACAGTAGGGTTTCCGAAGAATCCCTCTAGCCTGAGTGTGGAGAGGACAAGGGTGGACGTCAGAAGGCCAGCCAGGAGGCCACTGGGATCCCCCGGCAGAGGCGACAGCGGCCAGGAACAGCGGGGGGAGCAGCGCCTGCATACACTCTGGCAGGACACCCCGGGGGGTTTGCTCACAGACTGGATGTGGGTGCAAGGGAGAACCGAATTAAGGATGCCTTGCAACGTTTGTCATTCAACTGCTTTGAGGTCTGTCCCGATGGCACGTGGCATCTAAGGTTTACAGAGCTTTCTAGATCTTAATGCAGGGAACTGGGTAAAAAATACTTAGTAACACAAGAACCTATATAGACCGTATACATCATCATATAGATGAATTAGCAGTCTACGTCTTTATTTTCTTTTTCTTTTCCTTTTTTTTTTTTAAGAGAGAGAGCACATGTGCAGGAGCATGAGGCAGACAGGGGGGAGGGGCCGGGGGAGAGAGAAGCTCAAGCAGGCTCCCTGCTGAGCATGGAGCCCAGCTGCCGCGGGTCTCAAACTCACAATCCTGAGATCATGACCTGAGCTGAAATCAAGAGTTGGACACTTAACTGACTGAGCCACCCGGGCACCCCTTATTTATTTTCTACCAGCAGTTCCATTTACTAAGTTTGCTTCCCACTGACAATTATAAACTATAATCAATAGAAGAACGACTCCACCTGAGGATGGGAAGCAGGCTTCTGGAAGATGTTACGATCCTTCCTTCCTCTCTGAGAAGTGGTTTCCTTAAAAAGCACAAACCCTCTCTGTGGCCAAGAGAAGCTGACAGACCTCCTCATATGTACCTTTATAAAAAACAATAAACAAGAAAACAGTGCTTCCTGTCCATCTGATACTAGCTACATCACCACTTAGCCCAAACTCCTTTTTTAGATCTTTCCAGAATTATTCTTCTACATTTAAAAGCGTTTTGAGCCTTACATATTTTCTCTTGAAGGCTCAAAACTGAGGAGAGAAAAATGTTGCTGGCAGATTTGCTCTTGCATTTTTTTCCGTAATGCTGAAAGAGAATGCTTTCTCACTGCCTCACTCGCTGGGTAAGTGCCCGACAATCAAAAGCCACGGAAGAACTTCCTGTGCTCCCATCACAAAGCTCCATCTCAACCCGCCCCAAACAATGCCAGGTTATCAAGGCGCAGCCCAGTCCTACCAAGTCAAACTATGTATCACAATTTGCAAGGACAGGAGATAACTCTGAACCGTGAAATTTGCTGAAGTAATTTCTGGCTCAACGGTCGTATCAAATGACAAATCATTTTAGGTACTCAGTAGATAATTATATTTGCTATTAAAATGAGAACGAAGTATAACTGTAATACTTCATTTATGACATTACATGAAAGAATCCTTTCATTCCATAAATATTTATTTGGGATCAACTCCACATGGTCCCAGGTTCAAGCTTCTCAGTTTCAGCATTATGGACTGTTTTGGACAATACGTCTTTGTTGTCAGGGGCTGTCCTAGGCACCGAGGCTGTTTAGCGGCATCCTGGCCTCCACCCACTAGGTGTCAGCAGCACCTCCCCTCTCCGCCGTGACAACCAAAATTGTCTCCTGCGGGGCCACAAGCACCCTCAGTGGTGAACTGCATTGAGGCCATGAGGCCAGAATGATCAATGGGCCAAAGTTCTATCCTCACAGAGTTTACAGAGAGAGGGACAATCAAAACAAATACATAACATCAGACAGTAATACATACTATGAAAATCAAGCAGGGCCAAGGACGGAGAGTGACGGCAGGGAAGGGGGTTCTGACAAGGAGCTCGGTGTAGTTACGAGGGGCAGAGCTACCAGCTCTGGTCCTAAGCGGTTAGTCTGCTCCTAGTTAACTACATGAGGAGCCACTGTGGGGTTTCCCTCAGAGGAGGGGAAAATATAATCCAACACACATTACAAAGACCTCTGGCTGCTGAGTGGAAGGTAGTCGGTGGAGGGAAAGAAGACAGAAATCTGAACCCTGCTGGGGAGGCTGTTCCAGTAGACCAAGCAGAGGGCGAGGGTCCAGCCGGGGTGGTCTCAGTGGGAATGGCAAGAAGCCAGTCAGATCAGGGACAGTCAGATGTCATGGTCACATGAGAGACAGGTCTCCAAGGGAGAGTGAACTTGCCAGTGAAGCAGATTTGCAGTAAGAACGCGTGAGTTTGCCCAAGTTTTCGCCCTAAGGCACTAGTGACAAATGGTGCCGCTGTGAACTGAGCGGGTAGTGGGCTGGGGAGAGGGAAGAGGGAGGCAGGACTCAGGAGTTCTATTTGGAACGTGTTCTATTTGAGATGCCAGCTCAGATCCACGCTGGGATGCTGAAATGGCAGTTGGCTACAAGGCTGGAGCTCAGGAGACAGGTGGGAGGACAGTTACGAGACCTCAAATATGCAGGCAGTATTTAGGGGCAATGGACTGCATGTGACCCCCAGAGGAGACGGAGATGTCTAAGCATGTGCCTCGGAGCCCACGAATATTTAGTGGTGAGCCTCGGAGCGGGGGGATTCAGCAAAGACAACAGAAGTAAACAGCCAGGGAGGCAAGAGGAAAACCAAGAGGGTGGGGTCCCGGAAGACGAGAGAGGAATATTTCAGGGACTGAATGGTCTGCTGGATCGGACGGTGCTGAGAGGCTGAGCTGCGTGCAAACCAAGGCTGACCACTAACACCCCCCGAGATTAAGGGTCCCCTTGAAGCATGCTATCAGACCAGCGGTGAGGACAAACCCGACTGCGGGGGCCTGAAGAGGGTGAGGATGGGGCGATGGTGACATACATCTTTCACAGAGTCTTGCTCTAAAGGCTGCAGAGTAATGGGGAGGGAGCTCGAAGGGGAAGTGAGGTAAAGGTGTGTCTCCTTTCAGCGGGAAAAGATAGGGAAAGGATGAGTGACCATGCAAGGGACGGGACAACCGAGGAAGCAAAAGCCTTCAGTTAAAGAGAAGCAGCTGGATTCAGTGAGAAGTGAGACGCTGGCCTCGGATTGGATGAGGGACAGTGAATCCTTGGTATGGGACAGAAAGAGGAGTATTTGTTACAGACACAGGCAGTCTGGCAGGTTTAGTGGTAGCAAAATGAAGTAGGGTTGCCTTTCTTTTCTCCAAGAATCAAACTTTGCTACCACCCTAAGTGAGTGCGGGGGAGGGAGTGCTGTAAGTCTGAGGAAGGAGCACACAAGAGCTCACGGCTGGGG